GCTGTAAGTTTGAGACCAGCCTGGGCTACATAGTGAGTTCCAGGTCAGTCTCAACTACATAGTGAGACCCTGTCTCTAAAAACAACAACAACAACAACAAAACAGATTTCAGATTTTTGGATTGGAGTGCTCAACTTGTGTTGCCTGTAGGATAAATTGAGTATCTTCAGGCTTATGTGCCCCAAGTTACTTCCCTGACTTTAACCTCTCTGTTCCTAAACACTAAGATGCATTTTCTTCTTTTCCATTACTGGACTCCCCCGCATTTACTGGTCTGTCCCCACGTATCAGAATGATAGGGCTCTTATTCCATCAGAATTAAGGCAGCAGCAAACATCTGTGTAGATCATAAATAAGGAGGAAAGCCCACCACTCAACGCAAAATCCTAGACTTCCTTCCGTGCTTGTTGTGGTGGAGTGAAGATCATCAGGAGCCCTCATAAATATGATCCATATACAATAAAAGAAGACTCCATTAGGGCCGGTTGATTAATGTAAAGAGAAAGAGGATAAATGGGGGAGATCTAGGGTATATCTGAATGGGTGCACGGATGATAAGGGAGCTTTCTACAAATTGTGACACTCCAGGAAAGTCTCTTAGGTAAGCATGAGCCTGAAAACTCACACTTGCATCCCACCGAAACTGGTGTCTATCACTATCCCAAGTGAGCATGACAACATAGTACTGTTCTCTTGTGTCTCCCTTCTCCTCTCTGTCTGCCATGCTTTCACCCTGGGTCAGGGCCTACTCAAATCCTTCCTATTCTGTAGTGCCAAATAAAGGTTCACTTTTCACAATCTTCTTTCTCTCATTTTTGCCTCAGAATGCCTTTTACCACGAGTCAGCTGAACAGGAAGCACTACCCTTTTTTTGTCCCCTTAGTTACCCTCAAATATTTTTCTTTACTTTCAAATTTTAATTAAAAATTGAATCAAAGTTATCCATAATTCTAACAGGGGTCACATAATTCTAACACATCTGTTATGAAAAACAGCAGTCCCTGAACCCCTTCACCAGAAGCAACTACCAGTATCCTCTTCCGCTAATTACTTAGTACTGTATTTACCACCATTTCTTTCAAGAGTATGTTTGCATTGCAATTTTTTTTTTCATTTGGGGAATTATTTATTGCATTTTACTATGAAGGGGAGGGTTTAGTTCTCTTTCCTCCCTTGGTTTGCACCAAGTATATAAACTTTATCGCATTCTTTTAGCTATAGGGAGTGTCCATCTACCTAGTCTGGACATACAGGGAAATGCCTAGAGTAATTTTTATTAGTATTACATTAATATACATGATAAAATAGTAATTATTTCCCTACTTCATGATCATACTGTGGTTATATATTGAGATCAAAATTCAGTGCTTGTGTATTATGCATCATGATAAGGCAGCCTCAGTCCTGTTCAACCAAGTGACACATATGGCTGTCTCTCCTGCTCACACACTGCACCGTGCTGGGCATGAGAATTGTGTGAGACGTCCTGCTCCCGCAAATCCTTCCTGGGAGGTGTGACACAGGCTTCATGTACTCTTGACTCTCCAAGCCTCTCTGGAGCTGTGCTGTTTCTTACCATGGAGATTCGGGCCACTTGAGTCTATTTTTTTCCCCTAATACTCCATGATTTCTTTATTGAGTGGGCGCAAATATCATCCTTATGCTACCTTCTTTGATATAAAAATTTGCAGTGATTTGTAAATCTGTAAATAAAGATCATTTATAGAGTCCCATCATCATGCCCTGGAAAACTTTTTCAGCTGTATTCGGGGGGCATTTCTTTAACTTTATTTCTTATTAGTACATATTTATCAGACATATTGATCACATTCATCACAGAAAAATTATACCTGTACATAGAATATTTTAATTATTTTCCCATTTCCCTCTCCACCCTTTAACCCCTCCTCCCCTTCCCACTTACAAAAGCTTTGTTTCTACTCTTTTGCTTCCATTCTCTTTTTTTCCTTTTCCCTTCCTTCATTCCCCCTCTCCCCTCCCTTGTTCCTCTTCCCATTTGAACATCTCCCTACTTCTTGATATCAGTCATCCATTTTGGTCCTTATTTACACTTTTGGTTCCTCACAGAACAGAAACAATGTAATATTTAAACATATGTCTGATTCATTTCACTTAAAAGTATGGTCTTAAAGTGCACCCATTTCTGTAAAAATGTCTCAACTGTATCCTTCTTTGTGGTAAAGTAGTACTCCATTACATAGAGAAACCACTTTTTAAAAGCCATTCATATGTTAATAGACATCTGGGCTGTTTCTAAGATTTAGTGATTACAAACTGTGCTGCTATAAACATGGGTGTGCATATATTGCTTTGGTATGATGCTTTTAACTCTTTTTTCCCCGTTAAGTTTATTAGTACTTTTTAGGTATTATAGTACAGTTACATTCATCATTGGGATCTTTTACCTGTACATGATATATCTTGGTTCTTATTTTCTCCCATACCACTGCCCTCCCTTCACCTCCTCAACCCTTCCCTCTTTACAAAGACTTTGTTTCCATTTTTTCCTTTTTTTCATATTTTCCCTTTTCCTTTTCCCTCCCCTTCCCACTTCCCCTTTAGCCCTTTTCTTCCTATTTCACACTATCAATTATACCATTTGAACCTAATTTACACTTTTATTTTTCACACCAGAGAAACTGCTCCATATTTACTCGAGTGTGCCCTATTTATTTCACTTAAGAAATGGATGCACAATGAGGCTATTCCCTTTTAACTCTTTTGGGAAGACACCAAGAAGGGAAACAGCTGGGTCAGATGAAACCTGTAGTTTTAGTTTTTTGAGGAATCTCCATATTGATTTCCATATTGGGTGTACCAATTTACCCTCCCACCAACAGTAGAGAAGGGTTCCTTTTTCCCACAGCCTTGCCAGCAATTGTTATTGGTTGATTTCTTAATTGTAGCTATTGATGCATAAATATTATGCCCCAAGTCCTTAATGGTTTTGAATTCTCAAGTTTCAAAGCTTAAGCTATGGTATCTCAGAAGACATATTCCCCAAACTATCATTTCTGCTAAGTCTTTGCAAAGCTTATTTGGAAGCCTGGTGGGGGTTAAGATGAGGAAGTAAATGTGTCACTATTAGGCCTTTATGCTAATCTCTTTTATGTTCTCATGTATGTAAAATTTGTCCTTTTCCCGGTTGTTGGGTTTCTTGAGGGTGGGTCTATACTTAGAAGGTATTTTCTTCTTTAGGAAAGGACAAGATTTTCTTTTTGATATTTTTGTTTTTGTTTTTTTTGAGATAAAATTTTGTTATGTAGTTCAGGCTGGCCTTGAATTCAGTACATAGCCCACACAAGTCTAGAACTAGAGGTGATCTTCTTGCCTCAGCCACTCAAGTGCTGGGGCTACAGGTGTGCACCACCACTCCTGCCTGGCTCGGAAAGGATAACATTTTCTTTGTCCTTGTAAATGTGTTTAGCTTATAATACTGTAATTATTCACAGATCTTTTGAAGACTTTTAGCTTTGTATCTTCATAGTATATAATTGTGTTAAAATATAGTAAACATTTAAATAATTGATGAGTTTGCAGAATATACCTCCCAAAAAGAAAATCAACTTTTACAACATTACCCTTATACAATTACAAAAAAGAAATATTCACTCAGAAGGCTGAGGCAGGAGTTGGAGACAACAGAGACCCTATCTCAAAACAAAACAAAATGTAACAAAAAAGAGGAACATAATTTGTTGACGTAGAAACGAATAACTATGTGAATCTAAAAGAGTGACTGAAATTTTAAAAAGAAATTTTATGTATGGTTAAAAAATGATCTTTCTTTACTAATTTAACTTTTCAAATTTAAGATCAAGTTGACAGGTCTATTTTTGAAACTTAGTCCTCAAGGCTGAAGAGGACCAGTTTTCCTTTCTATGGCCTGTTGCTCCAGTGCCAAGAATACCAGTGTCTTCCTTTTTTAGAAAATGCAGCTGCTGGTTTCTGAACTATTCTAGACAGTCCAGACTTCAGTGACTGCTGAGGGTGGGGATGGGAGGCAGATGTAGGGAAAGCCCACTGTCAGGAAAGCGCCATGCTCCCCAGGGTAGAGGTAAACATATCAGTTGACTGCACAGACATTTCCAGGATATATTCTGAGAAATGACAGAGACAGGACAAAATATCCATCCTGGGCTACAAACTGAAGGGAAACTTTGTAGTCCTGCAGGATATGTTGAGTGTGAGTTAATTTTATATCATGTAATTGTTCATGGTTTCCTCCTAATTAAAAATAAATTTGGAGCCTCTCCTAAATACAAATAACTATCTAGCCCCTAAGGGATAAAATGCAATGATGAGTGAAGTACAGCTCCTCCTTCCGTAGGATTTGCCACAGATTTCTTCATGATTTTTCTCATAGCCCACTAGCCATGTTGCTACCCGATCTCCAACTTCTTGATCATGCTCCATTTTCTATGGGACAGGACAGAAATCTGTTTAATTCCCAAGGCCTTTCATAATCCAATTCTAGACCATTTCTCCAGCCTCTTGTGCTTGTGCTTGGCTTCTTGGTGTATGTGAACGGACCACGTTATTATATGCTTGTATAGCTTTGTACCGGAGCTGGAGCTCCTCCATACCCTTTCACCATTTAGTGGAAATGTCTCATTTTCTATAACAAACCCTGTGACTTCTCCCCTTTTGCCCCGGGCTGTGTCAAGGTCCTTTCCTCTGTATTTCCTTTATGCCTATCACTACTACAGTCCTTAGTGACATAATATTAAAATTATTTCTACCCAGCTTATTTATTCCCCATAGTGGGAAATTTCCTAAAAATGAAACTGTATCTTTTCATCTTTGTATCTCCTTGACATGCCATAATGCTGGAATGCAGCAGGATCCTTAATGGCTGGATGAGTGAATGAAGCAAATTCATTCATTCATCATCCTTTACTTTTTTGATGTATCAACTGCTAAAATTTAAAAATCCTAGTCTTCTTTTCTCCATTGCTACTCATCACTTCTCTTTGCAGAATGCTGTCTGAAGGGTATCTCAGCGGACTTGCCTACTGGAATGACATCCGTTGGAACTGTGCAAGTTGTAATGAACAGGTGACTGAAAAAAAGGAAGAGGAGACAAGTTCTGTTGCTAGTCTTTCCTATTCATCTGTGGATGAAACACAAGTCAGAAGTCTTTATGTGAGCTGCAAATCCTCTGGAAAATTTATTTCTTCAGTGCATTCAAGAGAGAGCCAACGTAGCGTAAGTCAGAGAGTCAGAATGCTGCAGACAACCCCCAATCCTGTGTTTGAAAGACCAAACTTGGCTGCAGTTGAAATATGTAGGGACCCTAGTAGAGAAACCTATTTAGTTCCACCTTCCTGCAAAAGTATTTGCAAGAATTATAATGACTTACAAATTGCAGGGGGCCAGGTGATGGCCATTAACTCAGTGACAACAGATTTTCCCTCTGAGAGCAGTTTTGAATACGGTCCTCTGCTGAAGTCATCTGAGATCCCTTTGCCCATGGAGGATTCCCTTTCCACTCAGCCAAGTGACTTCCCCCAAAAACCTATTCAGCGCTACTCATCCTACTGGAGAATAACCAGTATCAAAGAGAAAAGCAGCCTGCAAATGCAGAAGCCTGTTTCAAATGCTGTGCTGAACGAGTACCTGGAGCAGAAGGTGGTGGAGTTATATAAGCAGTACATTATGGACACTATGTTTCACGATAGTTCTCCTACCCAGATCCTGGCATCTGAACTCATCATGACAAACGTGGACCAAATCAGTCTTCAAGTGTCCAGAGAGAAGAACCTGGAGACTTCAAAAGCCAGGGATATAGTCATTGGCCACCTTTTACAGTTAGTGTCCACTGAGATCAGCACTCCTAGTCTCCATATTTCTCAGTATAGCAATGTGAATCCATAGAGCGGATTCATGGATTCCATAGTTCTATTCCTCTCAGTTACTCAAATCCAAAGCAAGGCTTTATTCATTTATTCTGAGAATGTGAAGGAGGGGGTTGTGAAAGGGAGCCATGAGCTAGAGAAACAAAGGTTGGTTGGAAGTCAGGTGTGAATGGAGAAAAAAAATCTTATAATATTACCCGTGATAAAGTAATATGGGAAAAGGAGCCATAAGGAATGGTTTCAAAGAAAAATTTATACAACAATAAAGCAGAAATACAAATGGTCAAAAGAAGAAAAGAGAATATAGAAATTGGAAAAAAGGCAAGCAAACTAAAAACAAACACTATGACAGAATTAAAAGCCAAACATTTCAGAACAGGTTTAAAAATATACATTTGTTACCAAAATGAATTCCTTTGAAGTGGTTCTTGTTGAGGAAAATGGACTGCAGAAGGCTTCCGTATTTGGGTGGAAAGACAAGTTCAAACACTTTTTAAAGTATATATTTGTATTTCTTTTCTCTATTCTGTATTAGTAGTTCATTTAGAGATACTTTGTAAATATTAAAGCTATATCAACTTGCAATTGTGTTTTAATTTTGAATGACCACCTAGCTATAGCTACAGCCACAAAGCAGCCATTTACACTCCCTAATTCTGTCTACTGATGGAGATGAAATTTTCTACATGAAAAAGCACCACAGAGTGAACATGAAACATTTAGTTATATTTTGCTGTGTATGATTTTCTTGGTGGCATCAAGTTTTAAAGGTAATTATGGATACTATTCGTTTTACTCATTTTCGTCTTCTTTTTCATGTTCTCTTGACCTGAAGCCAGTAAAAGCTCTTCCATATCCTCAAAAGGAGGTTACAGATCTTAGGGTATCATGTTATGAAATTCTGTACCATGTATCAAGTTCATTTGCTACCATGGTAGCCTTTTCTTTAGGGCTTCTCTTCTCTAACTCTTTCCTCTAGCTCAGGACTTGGCAAACCATGGCTCATGGGCCAAATCTACCCTGCTGCCTGCTTTGAATGCCTGTCAGTTAAGAGTGCTTTCTCTATTTTTAAATGCTTTTAAAACTTGGACAAATATCTAATTTATTATTAACAACAATAAAAGTATATAGAATATGAAGGAAAAGAATAAGACACCTACAGATCAAATGAGACCTTGTTTTGATACCATTTTCAAAAAATTTAAGAGACAAAATTAATATTTATAAAACAATAGAGGAAATATTGCCCCTAGATATTTGTTATTAAAGATTTGTTTATTTGTGATGATAATATGGTAGCTATGTTTTAATAGGGCTGCTTCTGTCTTTGGGATCATTCTGAAATGATCAGATGTGAAATATGTGAAATAATGATGTCTGGGATATTTTTGGAGTAATCCTGTGTAAGGAGAGGAACTTAAGGCAGAGAGCAAATATTGTGATAACGGGCTATGAAAAAGCAGTATTTTGTGATGTGGAAATTACGTGAAATTCAATGTGTAAAAAATAAAATTTTATTGGAAGCAGCCACACCCACTCATTGCTGTGCTGCCTATGGCTGCTTTCCCTTGAGAACAAGAAGGCTGAGTAGATGTAACAGAGGATACATGGCCCAACAAAGCCTAGGTCTCACTCCAGGTGGCCTTTTACAGAAGTTTGCCAATATTGCTCAACAGCAGGGCCTTGTCAACACAGCAGTTTCTTGATTTAATTTCAGTTTGCAAAGGGAAGTGGACTCTGAAATGGAGTTTGGTGAGCAAGTTTACTGAGGATTAGTCTAAGGGACCGCCTCTGTGAGGGAAAGAGGGAAATAGAAGTTCCCGCAAAGGTCTTCGTGCATTTCACAGGAAGTTCTGGAACGAGAGTGAAACTAGAAGGGCTGCTTCCAAAGTGAAATGAGAAGGGTGGCTTTTGTACTCCAGAATCTGTCAGAAGGGAGGATACCTGTAGGTGAGCAGTTTGGCAAAGGGCAATTTCCAAAGTGTGAATCTCCTGTGAGTCTTCAGCAACCAAACTCCAGGAAGCTGCGGGGGGAATGATGCCTCATCCCAAAAGAGGGATCTATGTGGAACAGTCCTTTATGTTCTTCTGCATTTGTATCTGTAGAGTGAATGAATGTAGTTTTTCATATCATTGTGCAGGAGACATGATCTGGACATTGTTATTAAGAAATGCTATTGATTATTTTATTTTACTTTTTTGTTTTGTTTTGTCCATTTTTTCAACGAGAGGATGGAAGGAACCCAACATTTTTAGTTACAACAATGAGATTTTGTTTTTGTAAAAAATAATCCTATATGGAAATGAATGGGACAATGATAAAAATAAACAAATAATTAAAATTCCAAACCAAAACATATCTCCTGGTCCCGAGATCTCAGTCACTCCTCTAAGACTACAATCTCCACATTGTGGACTTGATGCTGATGTTCTTCCATCTCAGCCACGACTTTCTCCTCAGTCCTCAGCTCAGTCTCCAAGATGACTGCTTTGCTCTCAGTGTCTCCAACCTCAGGGTCCGGGGCTGGGTCAATTTCACGGATGGTCTGCCCATCCTCTGAGGCCCTTTCCACAACCTGGATTGCTGAGGTCAGGCCAGACTCCATGGCTACCAGCTCCACAGGGCTCGCCATGGTAGCCATGTTGCCCAGGGTACTGCCATCCTGCATGGTGGTGGAGCTTAGCAGTGCCAAGCTAGATGAAGGGTGGATGGTCACTGTGTCTGGTGAGCTGCTCTTGGCAGAGGAGACCACTGTGGCATAGCGGAAGAGCTGAGGGCCGGAAGGCAGCGTGTGAACAGTCACAGGGCTGGAGCCCTGGCTGAGTGTGGCCACTGGAATATTGCCCATGGAAAAGGACAGACCCACTGGGGTGATGGTGACGGGGGAGGTGACTGTGAACTGCGGCTGCTGCTGGACAGGAGTAGAAGGGCTCAGGACAGTGGTGGAGGCTGGCCGCTGGAGCCGGGGCCGTTATGGAGGTTTGAGAGTGCTTGCAGGCATTAATGTTTTGAACCATCTGGCATTTCAGCCTATGATCCTGGGCTTGCTTCTTTTGCTCTTCCAACTGGCATTCCAAGTCTCAGAGTATAGATAAACTGCTCTTCTCCCCGTTCTATCTGGTTCCTTCTGGTGTCCAAAACCTTCTTGATTGTGTCCATTAGGCCAAATGTATGTACTACATTGTTGAGGACAGCAGCACCTGTGACCTGGAAGGGAGCCTGGAGGAGTTGCTGCTGAACTCCCCTGAGTAAGTTCCTCTGTTTCCTTCTGGATATTGCTGACAACCTCCAGGACATCAGAGCATCCTCTGAAATTTCCTCAGAGTCTTTCTTCACACCCTCCTCTGTGGCCATGGTGACAGCAGCAATGAGTGACGAGTTCCACTGCAGCCCCGCCTCTTCCATACTTTCTTCTGAAATGGCAATCTGTGTGATGCCACCATCAGCTGAAGTGGGTGTCTGTCTGCTGTCCCAGCACTGAAGCTCTTGCAGTGCTCATCAGAATATCAAATTTGGTGCTTCTGAAGGTATTGGAGCACACTTTGTCATGCTGGTAGAAATCAATCTGTCCGGAGTCCATCATTTTCCTGAGCATGATTCCACCCAAATGAATGACTTTCTTTCAGTCCTTCAGAGTGGACTTGCCAGCCAGATGAGCAAAATGCTAAGGGCTGAACAGCTGATCATTGAACTCGACACACTTCACATCTATTTCTGGACACACAAACTTCTTCCAGAGGAGGATGGCTTTGCTCTCCCCACAAGTTATGGGGTAAGCAATTTCCACGTCCTCATTTGCTTCTATAATGCTTGCGTCAATTCCTTCTTCAATTTTGTGTATCATGTGAGTTTCTACTGCTACAACTGCTGTGTTGTTCTCCAACCAGGGTTCATAAATCCTGTTCTAAAAGTGTCCATCGATAAACAAACTACATGAATCATGAAAAAAGTAATATTCACAACATGGGTTAAGATAGTTGTTTTAATCTATCTCAAATAGAATAAATAAAGAAATACACTTTAAAGCTGGGCATGGTGGCCCATGCCTTAATCCTAGCACTAGGGAGGCTGAAGCAGGAAATCACTGCAAGTTTGAGGCCAGCCTGCACTACAAAGTGAGTTCAAGGCCAGCCTGAACAACATAGTGAGACCCTGTCTCATAAAACAAACAAACAATTAATATATACATACACACATATACTTTAGAACTGTACGTTAAAGTTTTGACTAGTTTCTCATTGTACGTATGTACGTTTGTATGTATCTATGTATTTTTGTGGTACTGGGGATTGAACCATGGATCTTTATACTGAGCTACATCCCCAGCCCTTTTTATTTTGAGATAGCATCTTGCTAAGTTGCTCAGGCAGGACTCAAATCACAATCCTCCTGCCTCAGCCTCCTAGAATACTGGGATTACAGGCATATACCACCACTCCTGGCTATTTTAACATCCTTTCAGGCCTCATAAGCAAAATATTGATATGAACAGAGTCTACTAGGAAAAGAATAAGAGACACTATACTCACAGTAACCAGCAGTAATCAAAAGTACCACTTAATGGAAGGTTATATAACACCTTAAAATCTCTCTAATGGTCCCAGATAATTTAGTGTGATATATTGGTGTCCTCTTTTTAATTTCTATAATAAAACTGATGTGTTAATTCTTGCACCTTGTTATTTCAAAGCACTGCCTAAATAATCTTTGCACTGATGACACCCACCTCCCTGCTGATATCTCAAGCACAGACTTCTCTTCTGAGAGCAACAAATCCTAACCATTAGACCACAAGAAGCATCTGGACCTCTCTTGAATGTCGCTCCAGGACACACCTAACCACTGTGTAAATGAATACACCCAGGGGCTGGGGATTTAGCTCAGTGGTGCCACCGCCTGCCTTGAAAGTGTAAGGTAATAAGGGAAAAGAAAAAAATATGAGAAAATGAAAAAATGGAAATAAAGTGTTTGTAGATGGGGGGAGGGGTGAAGGGAGGGAAGGGACAAGGGGAAAAAACGAGAACCAAGACGTGTCATGTAATGGTACAAGATCCCAATGATGAATGTAACTGTACTGTATACCTAAAATGTACCAATAAACTCAATAAAAAAAAAAGAAAGTGTAAGTTCCCAAGTTCAAACCCCAGTATCAAAAATATATATACTCAGATGTTCCATGAGACTATTAAATTCATTATATCTAAAATAATTAAATTATTATCATTAGAATTAATTTTTTTGGTACCAGGTTCAAACTCAGGACCTTGCATTTGTAAGGCAGATGGTGGAACCACTGAGCCAAATTCCCCATTATCTATATTTTAAACATAACACTCAAACAGCTCCATGGATTCATTGCTTGCTCTGTGTCTGCTTCCACATTAAGCATTTCATGTATCATTTTGTATAATTCTCAAAATAACCTTAGAACAGAGAGAGCATCTATTTTTTTTAATAAATGGCAATTTTAATAGAATGTAAATTTGAGTGCATAATAGCAAATGGAAGGCAGCTGAACCACAGAGAGAAAACAAGGCTTTCCATAGCTTCAAATCCAGGTGTTTCATGACAAAGAAAATATTAGGACATCTGGGAAAAGACTGTTTAGTTAAGACATGATGGAAATTAACATACCCTAAAATTAGAATTTCTGAAATGGATTAACTAATTTTTTTAGAGACTGAGAAGGAGCGCAGTAATATAGAAACCAAGTACAGTATGCTAGAAGGATCACAAAGGATCATGCCACTAAATGCAGGTACAGACATTCTTCACATACTACGAAGGTAGCATCTCTTACCTAGATACACATGCTCTTCTTCAGACATATGATACCCTCCAGTAAAATAATATACCAGTGAGAGCTTATAATTTCAATACAAATCAGAGCCCTATCATTGAGCTCAACAAAAAGGCAGTTTAAAGAATTAGCACTAATAAATAAAGTCTCAAAAGTATTCCTTCAAGATTGAGAATGTCTTTGTATAATGAAACATGTAGGTTACCCATTCTATCATGTCTGAATAACCATCCACTGCAGGTATAGTGCTGAAGTAGTATTACTGTCTCCTTCTTGGGACTCTGTTTTCATATGTTTCCCTCCCAGAAAGGTCCAGGTTTGTTTTTTAATGATCAAAATAATTACTAATAAATGTATATTTTTACTACACATCTGTTATTCTAAATCAACCTATGAAAGAACCAAACCTTTTGGATATTTCACAGCTAACTTATTTACAGGTAGTTTCATAAATAAACTCTCCTAGGAACTACTACCTGTTATCTACAACCACTGTGAAGTGGCGGGCAAAAAAAAAAATCACAGGGCAGGGTGAAGGATTTAGCTCAGTGGTTCCACCACCAGTCCTTCAAGCGTAAGGTCCTGAGTTCAATCCCTGATACAAAAAAATAAATAAATAAAACAAAAAAACAATCACAGGGCATGAAACACTAACCAATTTAGCTGTCAAAGATGGCAGTAAGCAAATAATGAATATCCAAGAATATAATTACATTGGGATTTAAAAAGTAACCATCAGGCACAAACTATTATGGTTCTAATCTTCTCCATGATTCAAAGTCATCTGCTACACAATAATCAGTGGCTTTTGTGAGAACATCTATTATCATCCCCATTTTACAGAAGAATGAGCTGGGCTGAGAGAAATTAAATCATTCATCCAAGGGCACATAGTAGATGACAGAGCTGAATTTTAATTCAGTTTCATTTAACACAAGAGATCCTCTGGATTTCTGCTGGGTCCTTTGTAATTTCACCTTTTTCATTCCTAATTATATGGATTTGGGCCTTTACTTTCCTTTTTTTGATAAGGTTGGCTAAGGGTTTGTCAATTTTATTTTTCTTTTGAAGAACAAACTCTTGGCTTCGTTGATTTTTTTGTACCGTTTTTGAAATCTCCATTGTGTTAATTTCTGCTCTGATCTTTATAATTTCCTCACTTGTATGATGTTTTAGTTTGTCCTGCTCTTCTTTTTCTATAAGCTTGAGGTTCAGCATCAGGCTAATTGTGCTCACTCTGTTTTCCTAATATGCATATTCAGTGCTATGTATTTCCCTCATAAGACTGTTTTCACTGGATCCCATAGATTCCTATATGTTGTATTTTCATTTTCATTTAATTATAGAAATTTTCTGATATCTTCTTTAATTTCCTCTGTGACCCAGTGATTATTCAGGAGTGTATGTTCAATTTCCATGTGCTTGTGAAATTCTTGCAGTTTCTTTTACTATTGATCTCCAATTTCATCACACTATAGTCTGATAATATACAGGGGATAACTTCAGTTCCTTTTCACTTACTTAGACATGTTCTATGAGTGAATATGTAGTCTACTTTGGAGAATGACCCATGTGCAGCTGAGAAGAATGTGTATACTGATTTTGTAGGGTGGGACACTCTGTAAATATCTGTTAAGTTCAATTGTTTAAGAGTCTGATTGTGTTATAATATTTCATTGTTTATTTTGTCTCGTTGATCTGTCTATTTGTGACAGTGGTGTGTTGAGGTTCCCTATTACTATTTTGTTAGTGCTTATTTGATTTTTCATTTCCATTAGTATTTGTTTTATATAGTTGGGCACACTAGTGTTTGGTGCATATATATTTATGATTGTCCTCTCCTCCTCTTGGATTGTTCCCTTTACAAGGATGTAGTGTCCTTCTTTGTTTCTCTTGATCAGCGCTGGTTTGAAATCCATGTAATCTGTGAAGAGGATAGGTATTCCTGCTTTTTTCCAGATTCCTGTCACATGGAGTATTGTTTTCCACCCTTTAACTTTTAGTCTATGAGTTTCTTTTAAATGTGTTTCTTATAAGCAGTATATTGTTGGATCTTGCTTCTTGACCCATTCTGCCAAACCATTTCTTTTGATTGGTGAATTGAGACCATTAACATTGATGGCTATAACCAATATGTGTTGACTTATCCTTGTCATGTCTTTTTCTTTGTGTTGGATTCTCCCCCTTTGCATTTAATTTCTTGTCATGCCTCATGGATTCCTTCTGCTGGATTTCCTGGGATTTTATCCTCATTGTCATTTCTTAGAATATTGTTTAAAAATTTTTGGAATGCTGGTTTGGTATTCATGAAGTTCCTACAGTATCTTATTTCTCCATCAGTTTTGAGAGATAGTTTTGCAGGATACATCAGTCTGGGTTGGAGGCTATTTTCCTTTAGGACTTGAAATACATCAGTCCAAGCTCTTCTTACCTTGGGGGTTGGTGTTGAGAAGTCTGCTGTGTTTCTGATAAGCTTTCCCTTTGTATGATTTGTTTCTTTTCTCTGACTGGTTATATAATTTTGTTCTTCTGTTGGGTTTCTGAAATCCTAGCTATTATATGCCCATGTGTAGATTTTTTTTTATCATGGCTAGTTGGAGCCCTATATGCCTCACTTATCTGTATGTCAAATTGTTTTCCCCTACTTGGGAAGTTTTCTGCCATTACTTCTGTGAATAGTTTTTTAACACTCTCTGCACTCTCTCCTATTTCATTTACTCCAGTCAGTCTTATATTATTCTTCTTTGTATCATCTAGCAGCTGTTGGATTGATTTCTCATGGTCCTTTACTATTTTTAAGAAATTTTTCTTTTCCTGTTCACTTATTGAAATCCTGTCTTTATATCTGAAATTCTATCTTTGCATTGACTCATTCTGGTGTGTAAACTTTCAATGGAGTTTTTAATCTCCTGGAAATCTGTTTGCATCTGTTTTATGGGTTCTATTTGTTTACTATGTTGGGATTCAGCCATGTCCCTTAGCTCCTCTATTTTTTTTAAATCTGTGTCCACTCTAGATTTATCACATCTTGCCCTATGGGCACAATCTCAGCTGTTATCTGATAAATTTTTTGTGATGTCATTTTTTCCAAATCCTCTCTTGTTGCCAGTTCAGAGTGTCCAGGAGGTTGAGTTTCAGATTGTTTCATCTCGTTTCCCTTTGGGGTTGCCTAGGTGATCTGGAAGTCTGGTATGGGGACTTGTTTCTGTGTCTTCTCATTTCACAGATGCAGCCTGCTGTGCCTTTATTGAGACAACTTTTTGCTCACCCAGTGCTCTGCAGTTCTCACCAAGCCACCAAGAGGCTTTTGTTCTGCTGCTCACCAGTACACCAATTCTTGGGTTCAAATCACAGATGGTATGGGGCGGGCCTCTGACTGAAGCTGTTGTGCCTTTGCAGCTCTTTCCTGGGTGGGCCTAGGCTGGGTGGGCTTGCCCAAGCCTCTGGGGATGGGGCAGATCCCTTGCTGTGATCTGCCTGCAGCCCCACTGGTCTGGTCCACATTGCTTCTCCCCAGGATCAGTGCACACTCACCAATGCTATGGGGCAGGCCTCTGACTGAAGCTTTTGCACCTCTGCAGCTCTTTCCTGGGTGGGCCTTGGCTGGATAGGCTTGCCCCAGCCTCTGGGGTCATGGTGGATCCCTGGCTGGGATCTGCCTGCAGCTGTGCTGGTCTGGAACACAACACTGCTCCTCAGGATCTGTGCACACTCACTGATGCTATGGAGTGGGCCTCTGATTCTGGGTTACTTTTTGAAATAGGTACAACAAGTCTTTTCACAGAGTCATATGGTTTATTACTGCATGAGGAAAGACCTGGTGGCTGAATTTCAGGTTAAATTTCTAAATTCAAGGTAGAAAGGGTCTTTGCATCTACCAGGGTGTGTGTGTGTGTGTGTGTGTGTGTGTGTGTGTGTGTGTGTGTGTATTTTTTTACAATTTTGCAAGGTTTTCTTGGCATATATTGCTGAACACTTCAACAACCACAAAATGACGCAAATTGTTCAATTGTTATCCATTCAGATGGTGAATACATTGCTTGATAGTTCAAAATAAAGCTTTCAACAAATAAATGAAGAGCAGCCAAACTGTCAAATTTTTTTCTTTTTTTGGTGGATCTTT